ACATATACCACTTAAATCTGTGACTATAAGACCAAATGATAAACCATGGATGAATGGCCTTATTCGTTTAGCAATTCGTAAACGTAATCGATTTTTAAAAAAGCATATTAAACATCCCACGCTGAACACATGGGAGCGTTACCGTGCACAAAGAAATCAAACTAATTACTTAATTCGGGAAGGAAAAAAATCCTACTATGAAAAAGTCAATCGAGATTTAAGTGATTCTACTATAAATAATAAGAAGTGGTGGGCAATCGTGAAACGGATTTACGGCGCAAAAAAGCCTTCAATTCCAGCATTAATTGAAAATAATGTTGCCATATCGGACCCTGTTCTTAAGGCTCAATTATTTAATGAATATTTTATCTCGCAGACTGAATTGATTGGATCAGATAACACTCCTCCTTTCATTGTTCCGTTTCAGAATTCGAAATTTATTTCAGATATAGTTGCTACAACTCAGGAAGTCCTTTTTCTAATGCGAAACCTGTACAAATCCAAAGCCTGTGGTCATGACGGTATTGGAAATAAAATAATTAATCTTTGTCGTGAAGGTTTTTGCGTTTTTTTTACTAACTTCATAAATTTAGCCTTCAAAATTGGTAAATTTCCATCTCAATGGAAACTAGCAAATGTTATTCCATTATTTAAAAAAGAAAATCGTCAATATAAAGTTAATTATCGTCCTGTTTCGCTGTTGCCCTCGTTTTCAAAAATTTGTGAGAAAATAGTTTTCGATCGTCTCTATAATTTTTTGATAGATATTGGTTTTTATATAAATACCAATCCGGTTTTAGACCTGGCGATTCTACTATTAATCAGTTAATCTATATTATTCATCAAATTTATTTGGCTTTTGAAGAGGGCATGGAAGCACGTGTAGTCTTTTTAGATATTAGTAAAGCTTTTGACAGAGTCTGGCATGCTGGATTAATAGTAAAACTCAAGGCAGTGGGTGTTCGCGGTCCACTGTTAATGTGGATAGAAAGTTATCTCAAAGATAGAAAGCAGCGCGTAACGATCGAAGGCCATTCATCTGATTGGGCAGGTATTAAGTCTGGTGTACCGCAGGGGTCCATTCTCGGCCCCCTTCTATTTCTAATTTATATAAACGATATTACTACAGATCTCGATTCCAGACCGTTTATATATGCTGATGATACCATGCTTTTTGAAATTGTCCAAAATGTGAATGTTTCTGCTGCAAATTTGAACGAAGATTTAACTAGAATATCGGATTGGTCTAAAAAGTGGCTTGTTACCATGAATCCATCAAAATGTCGAAGTATTATATTTTCTCTTAAACTTAATAAACCTGATCATCCTGCTTTGCTTATGGACGGCGCTTGTATAATTGAGGTCGAAAGCCACGCCCATCTTGGCCTTATATTTCAAAATAACATGTCCTGGCGGAGCCATATACAGAACATTTTTGAAAAGTCTTCCAAAAGATTAAATATGTTAAAATTGATTAAATACAAAGTTAATAGATCTACGTTAACATGTTTATATAAAAGTCTAATTAGACCTTTAATGGAGTACGGAGACGTAATTTGGGATAATTGCAGTGAAATAGATTCCAAATTATTGGATAGTATTCAGTATGATTGTGCAAAAGTCGTAACAGGTGCTATTAAGGGTACAAGTGCTAGAGCGTTGAGGAATGAGCTTGGGTGGGAGAATCTCAGTGTAAGGAGAAAAATGCACAAATTAAATTATTTTTATAAAATTACTAAGCATATTTCTCCCTCTTATCTAGTAGACGTATTGCCTATCACTGTAGGAGAAAGAGTTAGTCGTTCTCTACGTTCAAATGAAAATATTAGCTCGTTTTTATGTAGAACAATGAGATTTAGGCAATCCTTTTTTCCTTCTACAATAGATTTATGGAATTCACTAGATGCGGATATAAGAAATGCACCTTCGTTTAACAATTTCAAAGCTCGTCTTAAATTAGTTTTTGGTTGTTTAAAGTATAATAAGTTGTACGATGTCTCTGTTACTCGTCGATCGTCGATTTTACATACCCGTCTTAGACTTGGTTTCCATGCTTTGAACGAATATTTGTGTAGAATAAACTGTTGTCCATCACCCGTTTGCGTTTGTGGCAGAAGCAATGAATCTGTCCATCACTATTTCTTGTCTTGCTCCCGATTCGCTGCTCAACGTAACATATTTCTTGCCTCTGCCCAGCGGATTTGTGGTAATAAATGGTCGGAGAGTAGCGATGGGATAAAATTGTGGTATATTCTTAATGGTATTCAGGATTTAAGTTTTGATGATAATTGTAATTTTTTTAAAGTCATTCAGAATTATATCCTTTCAACACATCGCTTCTCTCTAAGTCATAGTTAATTCAAAAGCATGTTTGTAATTTGTGTGTGTGCATGTTTTTGTAAAGTATTTGTTGAGTATTTCTTCCTTTTTTAATAAAACCACAAAAAATTTGTAAAGTTAGTGTGAGCCCCCTAGATAAGCCATTTGCGCTTTTGGGGCAAACACATTATATTATTAATAAAATATGTTTAAATAAAAAAAAACAAAAAAAAAAACATATTGTATTAAAGAATATGACTCATGTGCAACTAATCAGCAAGTGATTTTCAATACTATGTTAAGATCTGCTCATACCCAAGTAGAATGTGCTTTTGGACGTTTGAAAGCAAGATGGGCATTTCTGACCAAAACTGTTGAACTGAAACTTGAATCTGTGCCTACAGTTATTTATGCCTGCTTTGTCTTACACAATGTTTGTGAACAAAACAAAGTGACTGTGGATGACCAGTCATTGAAAGAACAGATCAGTTTGATGAAGCAAAATGAAGAACAATTCAAAAACATTCCTGATCCAGTCTATTCATACAATGAGGGTGAGGGAGAAATTGTAAGAAGCTCTCTGTTAAAAATTCTTAAAGAATGTTTGTAAATTCAAGCACCAAAAATTGTCGCTTTTTTATGAACCATGAAAATATTTGAAATTTATAATGAAAATAATAATGAACATTTTAATAAACAATGTACTGTAATTACATCAATGTAAATAAATTAACAGTATTTAACGATATATGGTATGCAATGTCAAATAACAAAACATTAAAATTCTATAATGTTCAACAAGTGAAATAACCTAACAATTGACATAATATATATTACATATATCAATACCTTATATATTTCAGCTATGAATCATTCTTTTGACTGTCCTGAAACATTTGACTCAACACTGTTATTGGCACTTGACTGAGTTGATTCATTTTGAAATGTGGGGTTATTGTTTGACATCTGAGAAAAGTACCCTTGAGGATTGTTTTGATAAAGGTCCAGTTACACGTGCGATTTTTTTCTCGCGCCGGGAACGCAACGGGTTAAATTTCATTGCGTTACTCGCGCGAGTCATGAAATTGCCTGTGTAACATATCTGGCGCGGTAACGCAATTGCAACCCGATATTCTTGGCAATCGTTGCGGAAAGTTGAAATGCTTGAACTTTCAGCAACGATTGCCGAAAATATCGAATTACCCAGGCATTGTTTGAGCAGGAAACGCATGGGCATTGTTGTGCCTTTCTTGTAAAGCTTTTCAGATAGATTATCAACTATCTTTTTGAAATGATCAAAATCCATTCGCATAAATTTTTCAAATCCTGGTGTGTCGTGGGCAGCTAGATCGGGAAGAAGCTGACCGAAATAACCTTTGTTTTTTCTCTCTAGAAGCCAGTGCCGGCTCCAAATATGTTTCTTTTCTTTAACCACCTCGTCATCTTCTTGTCAGTGACATTTGCGAATTGCGAAACACTAGTGCCGGGTTTTTTCATGCAAATAGTTGCGACGCGGCTAAGCTATCATTGCTCGTGTCACCACTTCACTCGCGCGAGTAACGCAATGAAATTTAACCCGTTGGAAAGGCGTTGTGTTGCCGGCGCGAGAGAAAAATCGCACGTGTAACTGGACTTTAAGGAGGGACTTGATAAGATGGGAAAAGTTGTTGGGGACCATATGATTGTACTTGCTGTTGGAGAAGTGCATTTGTCAACATTTGGATGGACTGCGACATGCCAGCTCCCGCTCCTAACATCGCTGAACTCATTTCTTAAAACTTTCAGTGGACTCTCGAACAGCCTCTGTCATGTCTTTCCTAAATTGGGCATCCTCTTTTGCTTCATCTAACAGCATTTTGTCTCTTTGTGCAGCTGACAGGTTTCTCTGTAGATGTTTTCTTTTATCATCAACAAATTTCCCAACATTTTCTTTCCGTTTTGGTGTTTTGGAAATTTCCATACCATTAGTTTCATCATCGTTGATATCAGGTAATAGTTCAAAAGGCAAAGGGAAACCCAAATCATGACCAGATTCTGAAGTGTTGAGTGCTGGACTGCAGTCAGTCTCAAGGTTAACATCATTTTCATCAAGTTGTATTACCTGTACAGTTTTGAAATTATCTGCACTCACTCCAAACTTCAGTGGAGAAACATTGGGGGTACTTCCCCAAATTTGGACCAACTTGTCATAGTGCTCATAAATCATTTTGCCATTTCTGCTGCTGTGTCCTGACACCACTGCTTTTGAGTAATTTTGCCGAATTTCGTTAACTTTTTCCACAACTCACTTGTGAGCCTTTGCAATAAGATCTTTGGAAATTTTTATATCAGCTTTGATAGCTTCTTGCTCCTCCATGATAATTTATCAAAATTTTCTGGCACATCAGTGACAGAAACAGGTCCAAAACACAAGAAGTTGGGATGTTTAGGATCTGTGCAGCTGTATAATTTGGCCATTGAAATATGCATGTGTTTATACTGGGTACATTTATCTGCATCAAAGTCTAGGCCTTTGAATTCAATCTCAATTTTGTATGCGTTTAAAAAATCTATCAACTGTTCAACCATCTCATCACTCCATCGGAAATTTTTCCTTTTTTTAGTTTTCTTCTCTTCCTCTTGCATAAGTGTAAATTGAAAAGTTGCTGACATGACAGAAATGTTTCCCGCTAAGCGGGAAAGTTGTGGATATGTTGTGTTCATATGGGAAAACATTATCCCGTGTACACAGATCTCGCCTGTCAACAAGCGAGATCTTGGTACACGGGAAAACTTTTTGTCTCATATGAACGCAGTGTAGATTTTCATATTATGTTCATTTCAAGGCGAGATCTCGCTTGTAAACTTGTCGAAAAGTTTTCTCGCTAACCGGGATAACTTTTGCCCATATGAACAGGCCCTTAGTAAAATATAACAGTAGCTATAATTTGAGACGGAAACAAACAGTTTTATTACCAAAGCCAAACACTGAAAATTTGAAAAAATCAACTTTTTATCAAGCTGCCGTGCAACAACGAAAGAGCTATAGAAAATATAGCCACTTTTAAAAGTGAAATACAGAGGAAATATTGAGACGAATTAGGAACAAAATAGGTTAATTAATATTGTGACGATTGCATGTTTAGTTAATTACGTAACGCATGATTACTCATGTTTTCAAATAAAACGGATGGACAGGATAATCTAATGTTTATCGAAGGACATATTAAACAGGGTTACTAGCTACATTTATTTTTGGAGTGAGATTACTTGTGCTAAGTTTTTTATCAGGTGACGGTCGTAGTAAGATGCAAGTGTTTTCTTGTATGATGTGTTGTAAATTGTTCGCTGTCTTTCATTTCGTAATCGTTATTTATATTGTTGTGTAATTGTCTTTAGTTTTCACCGACTGGCCGAATAAATATTCGTATAATCGTCTAGTTTGGTTGACAATCCCAATGCGAAAAGGGTTTCAGAACTCATTGGTCGAGAAAACGGGGGCATTTAACAAGCAAACAAAACTTCTGTAGAGAGCAATTGCATCGGTGCACAGCGCTATTGAAGGGGAACACGACACAACCACGCTTGAGCGCCTAACTGTTTCGTTGGAGATAAACAAACAAGCTTTTGAAAGTAGCTTCAGAAAGTAGCTTCAACGCTTGTTTTTGAAAGTAGCTTCAACGCTTGTTTTCCGAGGACAGATGGGGTGAAAGTGCCGACGTGGAAAGCCAAGTTAAAGATACAAGTATAAAGTATATTCAATCTGCTGAATCAGCCCTACGCCAAGTGACTGAGAAGTACAGAAGAGTACAGATGAAAAGGACGAGGTCGTTTTAAAAGACTCAAGATCGTTGGACGTTCAAAGCGATCTAGATCATCCTATGCATCGTCAACCTCTGCTTGAATGAAAGCACTCGCAGATGCAGCCGCGGCAAGGAAAGAAGCAGAATACGATGTATTAATAGCTGAGAGAGAGAACGAAAGAAAACAACTGGAAGCCGAAGAAGAACAGGATCGAATCGCAGCAAGGGCGCAACACGAAAGAGATATGGCGGTTTTGGCAGCAACGAAAAGGAAAGCTTCGGCTGAAGCGAAACTCGAGGCCATTGAACAGTCCATTAACGAAGAAAGGTCATCTTCGAACAAATCGGAGGAAGGCGAAAGATCTAGCGTAATGTCAAGGCTACACACTAAAGCCTCGATACAGGACCAACAACGGGACAAGACCCAGCTAGAATCTAAAAGATTAGAAGCAAATAATTTGTGTGTTTGTATGCGCACTGAAAACCCACAAATGATGGACGTAGAATTGTCTCATACAGACAATGAGCTGCACATCAAGTCACAAACCCAAGATGTTCACGATAACCTCGGGGCAATACTTCAGGGAAGTATGAAAGTTGCCACAACAAACGAAAAATTGGCCTCGAGTCTAGCGTGAACAAGTCTTCCAAAGTGGCATCCTGACCTATTTTCTGGCGACCCAACCATGTTTCATCCATGGAAGAGCGGATTGAAAGGCATGCTGCGCGATACAGATGTAACTCCAGAGCAAGAGATGAACTATTTACATATGTACACAAGAGCTGGACCTCAGAAATTGGTGGATAGTTTCCGCAAGAGACAGAGCAATAACATGTCAGTGCTGTTAATTAAACGATCTTTGGAAAGAATTGGAAAAACGATATGGCAACATTGCTACAATCATGAATACCTTTCTGGTGAGATTAAAAGAGCAAGCGAAGTTTGGAGAACACAAAAGAAAAAAGCTCCAGGCATTTTCGGACCTATGTATTGACGTAGCCCGTCAGATCGACCAACTTCCTGGTCTCGGATGTCTGAATTACTCAATCGCAATTCGACCTATCTTGAATAGTTTGCCAGAATACATTCGCCGAAGATGGGAGAAAATAGTGGTAGAATATGCAGAAGAAAATCACAATGCTTATCCAGATTTTCAGGCTTTCGCTGACATGATAGAGAAACAATCGTTACTACGCAACCATCCAAACGTCACAGCCACGTTTGAAAGTATGCGAAAGGAGCCACATGGGGATGCGATTACAAAGTTTTGAAAGAAGACGTAGAGCTAATCGAAGAATCTGATGATGAGAAATACTGCACGTTTCATGATATGAAAGGCCACAACTTACCGGAATGCAAAGCCTTTTCACAAAAAACTCTGCAAGAAAGAACGCAATGGTTGAAAAAAGCTGGACTTTGTTATCGTTGTCTGATGCAGAAACATCTAGCCAAAGAATGTAAAAGGAAAGTCAAATGCACTAAGTGTGGTAGCGACCGTCACTTGGAAATGCTTCATATGGAGAGAAAGAAAAAGCAAAAAGAGGAAGAAGTGTCATCAGCTAATACGAACGTTGGACGTAAGACTTTCGGTGGAGTGTCCTGCAGTAAAATTGTGTTGCTCAATATATTCCACCCGCAAACACCAAACAAAATAATAAAAGTCTACGCATTAATTGATGAACAAAGCAACGCTTCTTTGATTGGTCCGAAGTTGGTTGATGAATTGGGAATAACTGGAACAAAAGAGAAATATTTTCTGTCCACTTGTAGTGCAAAGAAGGAAACCAAATATGGATGTCGTGTTTCAGGACTGACGATAACTTCAATGAACGCAGTTTCCAAACAGCTACCAACGTTGGTGGAATGTGACAACATTCCCACAGAGAAACATGAAATCCCAACAACACAATTAGTCAAGCAATATGAACATCTTCGCGAAATCGCGGATGAAATACCTCCACTGGATACGAAAGCTCAGGTTCAATTGCTGATTGGTCGCGATGCACCAGAGATCATGAAAGTTCGGGAAGTTCGCAATGGTCCCAAAGGAGCACCATGGGTGCACAAGTTGGCCATTGGTTGGACTGTGTGTGGACGATTGTGTGTCAATTGGCACGGAGGACCCGTTCATGTTCAAACACATCGTACTGTCATCCATCGTTCGTCTGGCAAAGTCAAACATGATGTAGACATACAACCTGAAATAAAGTCCGCATATCGAAGTAATGATTTCTATCACGAATTCATACCTTGTCCAAACAAGTTTGAGGTGAAAGAATGCCATGAAGAAACGGAAAACTCCAATGACGTCTTTCAGACCACTGATCGTGACAATGAACCAAGTATGTCCATCGAAGACCAGCGGTTCGTGAAAGTCATGCAGTCAGAAATTCATGAAAATGGAAATTGGGAAATGCCGTTGCCTCTTCGAAATGCTGATGTATCCTTTCCAAACAACCGAGAACAAGCTTCAAGTCGTATGAACAGTTTGCTACAGACCTTTAAACGAAAACCTCAGATGGAAAGAGACTATTTTGAATTCATTAAGAAACTATTGCAACGTGGTCACGCTATTCCAGTTCCGGACAATAAGCTAACAAATGAAAAGGGCCTTTCGGGAAAAATTTGGTACCTACCCCATTTTGGTGTTTACCACCCATGAAAACCTGGAAAGATTCGCGTGGTATTAGACTCTTCTGCGGAATTCGAAGGAGCTTCACTCAACAAAAAACTGTTATCGGGTCCCGACATGTTGAACAATCTTTTAGGAATACTCATTAGATTTAGATGTAACACCGTTGCTGTTACTTGTGATATAGAACAAATGTTCTATAATTTTTTCGTGAAACCCGAGCACCGTGACTTGTTACGATTTCTCTGGTTCGAAGACAACGACCGTATGAAAAAGATTATTGAGTATCAAATGACGGTGCATCTATTTTGCAACACTTCCAGTCAAGCTGTTGCGATGTTTGGCCTTCAAAAAACTGCTGTCGATGGCGAGGAGAAATTTGGTCACACCGCCAAGGATTTCGTTAAAAATGACTTCTATGTTGACGATGGTCTAACATCGTGCTCGACCAGCGAGGAAGCCATTAACCTCATTAAAAATATGCAGTCGATGAACCATTAACCATGAGTCCATTAACCTCATTAAAAATATGCAGGGACATTCTAACGTTTAGAATCGACTTGCCTGATAAACCGTTCACCCGTCGCGGAGTTCTGTCCGTCATCAATTCCATTTACGATCCTCTTGGTCTCACGACCCCAGTCTTGTTATCTGGAAGACTTCTATTACATCAATTGACTACAACAGAAAATGGCAACAAACCACTTGGTTTGGACGACCCGCTTCCTATTCCCTTTCGACCTTACCAAAGTTTTCATACCAAGGTGCTTTCTTCCAGTGAACTCAAAGCTCATTAGAAGAGTTGAAATCAACACCTTTTCGGACGCCAGCAATGGTGCAATTGGGATCGCAGTTTACCTAAAGTTGGTCAACCAAACAGAGAAAATCAACGTTTCATTGGTGTTCGCGCAAGCAAAATTGGGTTATATTTTCATGTCACGCAGTCATGAAATATGGTTAGGGATATATGTCACCAATATACCCTTCTAACCTATATACATCCTAATAATCCCTACTTAACCATTGGTTATCAAGTTATCCCTTGGTTATCTAGTTATCCCTTGGTTATCTAGTTATTCCTTGGTTATCTAGTTATCCCTTGGTTATCTAGTTATCCCTTGATTATCTAGTTATCCCTTGATTATCTAGTTATCCCTGGTTATCTAGTTATCCCTGGTTATCTAGTTATCCCTTGGTTATCTAGTTATCCTTGGTTATCTAGTTATCCCTTGGTAATCTAGTCATCCCTGGTAATCTAGTCATCCCTGGTAATCTAGTTATCCCTGGTAATCTAGTCATCCCTGGTTATCTAGTCATCCCTGGTTATCTAGTCATTCCTGGTAATCTAGTTGTCCCTGGTTATCTAGTTATCCTTAATTATCTAGTTATCCTTAATAATCTAGTTATCTTTAATAATCTAGTTATCTTTAGTAATCTAGTTATCTTGGTAATCTAGTTATCCTTAATAATCTAGTTATCTTGGTAATCTAGTTATCCTTAATAATCTAGTTATCTTGATAATCTAGTTATCTTGATAATCTAGTTATCTTGATAATCTAGTTATCCTTAATAATCTAGTTATCTTGGTAATCTAGTTATCCTTAATAATCTAGTTATCTTGGTAATCTAGTTATCCTTAATAATCTAGTTATCTTGGTAATCTAGTTATCCTTAGTAATCTAGTTATCTCCGATATGTAGTTATCCTTGGTAATCTAGTTATCCTTAGTAATATCTAGTTTTGCTTGGTAATCTAGTTATCGTTGGTAATGTAATGATGATCACCACCATCACTTGTTGGAAATATCTGGAAACGCTCATACAGGTTTATAAGTTTCAATAATTTCTGGGACCAGCAAAAGTTCATCATATTAATTAAACCAAGCCCGATCTTTGCATGGTACATGAACTTATTTTGTACTTAATGCCTGTCTATTGGAGTCTATAACAAATATGCATAAAACCACGTGCATGATCAAGCACGAATATTTAATTCGCGAGTCAATCATTTGCGTAAAATCGCCGTGACACTGCTTAGTTTGATGTCCTCAATAGGGGGTGGGTAAAACCAAATTTGAACGTTAATGTAGCTACAACTTCTCCGCACAGGCATTATCATACACGAGATAGAGATTTTTTAGTATATCCAGGTATAGATACAAGTCTATATGCACATCATCCAGCTGCGCACGTTCACCAGTTAGATGAATACCATACATAATACATTCAATACCTAAGAAGTACAAAACATCTTGGTGATATCAATTATGTCATCAAGCATCTGCGCACGAGAGTGAGTGTAGCAAATGTAACAACATACAGAGGACTCTATCACTGAGACCAACATGCATAACCATATATTCGGTAGTAGGCTAATTTAATTTCATGTATATAACAAAGGTTTGGGGGTAATGTTTCCTTATCTTACGATTATCATTTTACATCATATGCCTTACGTATAACATAACGTGCTACGCTTTTCCTAATTAACATTATCAACGCAATGCCCTACACAATTTCTGCAAAAATACGAACACTGCACATGCTGCAATTGATATCATCAGGAAGTCTTGAAATCGAGCGGAAACAAATTATCCTCAGGATCCAGAAATCCAACATCTTTCAAGAACACTTAACACTTTCTCGTGTTATATAATATGTGTATCTCTCTTATTACGGGGAATTAAACTGGGCAAACACTAAAAATTTTAGATCGGTGCTAGGCAAAACGTTACGCAGAGAAAATGCACATTATACCCTCGATGCATGAGCCAAAAATCGTTAAACATGGTACATATTTTTTCCCCTTCCCAACATTAATTACGCTTGTTTTAGTATAATTTTGTTAGTAATATATGTACAAACTCGAGTTCCAAATTACATTTGAAAATTGAAAAGTGGGCAAGGATAATTACAGAAGTGAAATTTTCACTGAATATTTGGTAAAGTTGCACCAAACCTCTGCAAGTCTTAACTAATTTTCATTCAGTTGAATACTAAATTAACATATTCTTTTGACTTCTTCCTTTTAAGATGTGTATAAATAAATATTTTTTAAGGTTTACAAATTTTCTGCTGAAGCTCAAGAGGTTTTTGAATCTTTCTCAGATGAAATTGTAGAACGCACGAAAAAACAGCTTAAAGAAGTTATCGTTACTGATAACATGTCAAAGGACAGGAAACTTTTTATAATGTGAATTCAAAGTAAAAAACGTAATTACACAATTGAGTATTCACGTAATTTTGAAATGTTTCTCAACAATTCTAGAGATTTTTACAGTATTAGGGGACCAGGGGTATTTTAGGTTTGGGGACTTGGGTAGGAGCTGCTCCTCCCCAAAGGGAAAGCAAAGGCCAGGGCGCACATACAAGCTTTTTTTGTGGGGGGCGTCCTCTGTTTTGGGACCGACTTTCTTCTAACATTGGCGAATGGTCTATAGAGATGTAAAGCATTACAAAGCCTCATTACAAAGCCTCATTTCGGGAGTGGCCTTTAAGCCGCACTATTAAAACAAAAGCCATGTTACAAATCCAAAGAAAGTATATGTACTGTTATGTCCAAATTTGTTTTTACATAATTGCAATGCATGTAGGCTATCCTTTGCCGGGTTACCTATGGTTGTTGAAAGCTCATTTGTACTTGAATTTGCACGCATAACAGGAGATATTGTGCTATTTTGCTGTTGTATTTGCGTGTACAATACATCATGTTTAGTACATAAATATTTTTTCGATCTAACAACAATTAGGCGACTTAAAAAGCTTTTCTTCTGACCTCGTCCTAAAATACGTGAAATAGCATTCTATAAATTAATCTAGAAATTCAAAAATTTTTTCGTGCATTCGGCGCCCACATTCGCAATCCATAACACTTTTGGACACCCAAACTGAACGTTTATTTAAACTCTTTAACTAGTTGCCTTTTCTTATCAAACAAAAATACTACAAAAGTCGGTCACAGAACATAGGACACCCCACCCATTTTTTTTTTGAATGTGCGCCCCTGTGAGATTTCAGGATAGCAAAAACGTTGTACCGCTATTTAAAAATTGTTGATGAATGTAAATCATGTTGGTTTGCGAACTTATTTTCAAAGTTACTGATTTTACAGGCATTAATAAAGCAGAAAAAAGTACCAAAATAAGGAATTTTATTTGTTGTTTATCCCGATTATTTTTAAGAATATGAAAATATCCATTAATTTTTCGTTTTTATATGACCGTTGAGACTAAAACTAATATATATTCATACAGTATATAGCATGTTTTCTTCAAATTTTATAAGAGAAATAAAAAAAAACTGGTATTCTGTGGTACTGTGATATTCTGTGATACATACACCTGTAAATCAAACCAGCCAATCAAATGCTCAGTTTACCAACCGATTTGAGAATTTCATTACGAACCAATTTGAACTTTGCAACAAATTTGCGAAGTTCTCAATGAAGTTCGCAACTGCGCACGGAAACGTAATCTGAAATTGAGTCCAAGGCATTTTTTAATATCATGGACTGGTGTGGCATTTGCCCCACTGGGCCCTTTCCCCTGCCCCACCACTGAAGAAAAAAAATGGCCTATTGCCCCAAAGCCAGGGCCCTAGGACCTGTATTTAGTAAATGAGTTTAACGTTGAAAAGAAGTTTAAAAAACAAAATTTGTTGGTGAGGATACTTAAACTTATAGTTCAAACAAAAGGTAAACAAGCAAACTTTAATTAAAACTGCACTTCTCTACGCATTTCCAAAACGGCCGGAATTTCCTGGTAAGGAATCCTGGTGAACAACACCCATAACGATTAACACCTAAAACGTCTATGACGCCATATCATCTATAACGCCAATAATGTGAGCAGATTTTCAAAGGCCGCTCCGCCCGCGCGGGCAAAGCGACTGCAATGGAAAATTGCCTTAACGCCAATAACGTCTATAACGCCAATAGCGCCATAACGTCTGTAAATGACGTCATTGATATCTGTTATAAATGACGTAATATATATATATTTCGTGCGCGTAGCATAAAGATATAAATGGTTTGGGTAGCCCGACCACTCCTGCGTCCGCATCCAAACCCGCCCACTGCCAACTCTAACCCTAACCCTTGCCTTAAAACCCTAACCTAACCCTACTCCAAGTTTGTTTCTACATTAATCTTGAAGAAATTTTTTTTGACAAAATGTCATTCTGAGGTCAGCGAAACAACTTCTTACGTCCACACCCTGCGTCGCGCCACGAAGCCGCGCGTTTGAGTTGGAGCCTGGGGACGAGCTGGTCATGTCCGGTTACAATCTTGTTCCCCGAGTCTGCGATCCTCGGGAAGGAACGCGAGGCTCTGGGATAATCCCTTTCAGGGAGGAATCTGATTGGCCGTTGAAATGAATGCGTAGTTCAATCTGGCAACGGATTATCCCAGAGCCTCGCGTTCCTTCCAGAGGATCGCTTCGCAGGCTAGAGGATCGCAGGCTAGAGGATCGCAGGCTCGGGGAACAAGATTGGTCCGGTTACAATCTCGAAACCATAGCCCTGAGAAACACCGATGAAAGTCGGGCTCTGATTGGTTGTTTTTCAATATCCTCGTCCCCAGGCCCAAAGCTCAGGCGCCCTCAAAGTTTTTCAAGTGCTAATTATTATTCAAACTTTGAGCCGTATTTAGTTATTCGGATTTCAAACATCGTTTAAAATTAATATAAAGTTTATTTCTCTTTGTGTATTTAAATATGTTTAAACATATCAATGAAACACACAGCATAATTTTAATAAACTTATTAATCTTCCCTAGCTTCTCGTATGAAATCAATAGACTATTCAGATATTGATATGCCAATAACAAAATGTAGAATAACAACAGTGCAGCATTACCATATAAGGTCATGATAAGCTGTTGCCTATAATATTTAAAATAACACAACAATCCATGATTTACCGTAATTAAACAAGTTAAAATTAATCACTACCAGTATCTCACAACAATTCGAAACCATGGCAAGTGTTCTTTGAAAACTAAAGTCGTAATAAGCTTAAACAACGGCATAATTCATGTTTGACGGCAGTAATGTCTATTTATAAATTTCGAGCGGAGTACTGGATCCAAATGTACTGATTTACGTGCAAAAGTCGCCGGTGTTTCCCAGAGCCTCAAGCCTGGTTCACATATATGCCTGCGACGATACCAGTGGTAGCTTAAAACATGAATTATGTGAATATTTGTTCACCGATTGCCTCCAGTGCCACAGTTACATCGGCGGTAGGCCGGGAAAGTTGACTTGAGTTCAACTTTGGCGGTATATCGGCGGCAAGTAGAGGAATAATGATACAGTCGCAGGCATACCGTAGGCATATGTGAACCAGGCTTCAGCAAGCCTCCACAGAGGATTGCGGGCTCTGGTTTAGAGATTGGTCCGGTTACGCCTTTCAAGTATTCCACGCCCATTGGCGGGAAAATGTTTCAACTAGCCTGCAAATACCACTCTATTTATATCGCTTATTCCTGCAAAATGTCAAGCAGAATAAAGAGACGCGAGGTGGTCGTCCAGAATGGGGTTATAGGAGCGTTGTAGGATGAACTATTTTCGTCCGAGAGCAACTTTAGACTCACAGAAATACTGCATTATATATCTACACAGAACCAAAGTGGGTTTTTGGTTAAAATCAAAAACAATAATGATTCATATGAAAGATATAAAAACCAAATACTGTATACCATTGTATATTAATATGAATAACCTTCTATTAGAAAACATTTACCGCTTCTCCGACAGTGAAATTTGAGTCTGATATGTCAGTAAATCCGTAACCTATTTTTCTGATCTAAAAATGTTACTGTTTTTATACAGTGTGTGTTTCTTCACTTTGGACGATGCATCGACAACTAAGAGATTTATGAAGGCAATAAACAGCTCGAAAAATCTCGTGGGTTTTTTGGCCAATTATTCGACAGAGAGTTGAATAAATACATCATGCAGATGGCTGACGAATATTTCCAAAGAAATCCTGAAGCAAGGCATAAACCGAGACTTGCTGCTGAAAACATTGGTCGTCAAAGTGATGGCAAAACGTGGGTATTAAACGATAATTGCCAGATTGATGCAGAAGGCAATCAGCTGGATGACAATGACAGCAGATACATATGGATGGGGGAGTACGTATCTTCTAAATCGATCTACTCGTTAAATATCGTTGTACCCCTGAAAAAGAAGTCGTTTTCAAAAGTTTTAAAAAGGTTGAAGAACCCTTTGTTGTTATTAATAACTGTCAAACTTCATTACCTCTGGTATAATACTATTAACTGTGCATTACTATTTTGATACTTGAATTCAGATGTTGATCAAATCATGCGTAAATCACTATTTTAGTCTCAGTTTTTCTTGAAGAAAAAAACACTAAAGAAATATGTAGACATGTTTCTAGCTTGTCACAAATCCAAAGTAACAATAAAATTAAAGTTTTATTACAGTAATTTAAAAAATGACGGGGAAACTGCCAAAATTGCCGTAGACAGCTGTTACGTTACATGGCAATTTTTAATGCCATTGCCGTCGATTGATTTCAGGGAAATTCGAGGCCTGGTATCGACACTTCGATGACATGCATAATATTTTTTTCGAAAGACCTGACATTAAGGGACGGACCATTAGAAAAGTGATGGGGATTTTCTAAGAAGCAATATATATTTTTTTGTACACCTATAGAAGAAATTTTTTTCTCACTTGATGGCTGGAAATATCTTTTATAGGCCTATCATCCAAGCAAGGATTTTTTTTTGCAGTATGCCTGAAAAGATTTTTTCCCCCTAATTTTTTTCTGGGAATAATTTTTTTGGTTTTGCCCCCCCCGTCCGTCCCTAAAAAAGCGACACTTACTGTACGTAACAATTAATCACTGTTTTGTTGTCATTAAAAAGCGGGTTTATACAGTCAAATCCGGTGTTCCGTTTGCAACCGACGCGAACAAATTGCAATTCTTACTAACAGTAACAGTACTATAAAACCGTCAACTGCAAAATTACAATATCGCAATGTTGCTGGCAACGGAACACAGGATTTGACTGTAATATACACCTGATTTAAATAAATACTTCTTGTACAATTTATGCAGTTTTAATATGCTCGTATGATTAATATTACAATGCATTATATTAAAACAGTATAAAAATTACACTATATGGCAAAAAATTGCTGTCGTTGCCGCAATGTCCACGGCATTTTGTTCTCCCCCTATTGCAATAAGGCAATTGCCGCGATACAGCAATTTGCGTCCAAGCACAAACCGCAAACATTTTCGCGCGTTTGTTTACGTTTGAAACGTGGCGTTTACCGTTCGAAATGGAAATGTTTCACTGCTCATGTGACGTGTTATAGTGAAAAGCCTATTCAGTTATTTTTAGTCATGTTTTCATTTGCTTTCGTGTACTTTTCAGTATTTCCAAGCTCACGATGTTGTAAGAGCGACCAAACTTGTTTACATTCATACTTTTTGTGGCTAGAACGTATTATCGTGGGCTTCGAAATATTGAAACGTGCACAGAGGCACATCAAAACATGACAGTTGCGCCAAAAATAGCTTAAGGCTTTTCAATGTGACACGTCACATGAGCGGTGGAACATTTCAGTTTCCAACGGTAAACGCCCTGTTTCAAACGTAAAACAAACGCGCAAAAATGTTTGCGGTTTGTGCTTGGACACAAATTGCTGTGAAATTCAAGCCCTGCGATGCGCCAAAAATATTAACTCAATTGCCACACCCAAAAACATTTACGTTTCAGTCCAAAAATGTACACATTTGTAACCGAATTTGTAAGGCAAGCTAATAAAAGCTTTTAGCTTTTCACAAACAGAAGAATTTTTAGTTTATCTTGCTCGTATTTTTTTCCCAGTATGTTTGCTGCAAATGGAGGTCGCAGATACGAATTTAACGTGGAACATCACATGTGGACTGGGGAGTAAATCGAATCGAATAAATTCGTAAATACTTTTGTTGAAGAATCTTACCGGCATTAAAATATACTCTTTGTCGTGGATGATTTCGGCTGAATTAACCATATCGATCGACAAATGAATCAAAATCACAAGATGGTCGATCCATATATTTGATATTCAAAATATCTGAAATTTTGCTTTAGTTTAGACAGTCGGTACATCTTTTCATTTTAGTTGTTGAAATAGGGGCGGGTTTTATACACTCTTAATCACTTTTTTAATCACTATTTTGTACTTAAATAGTGATTAACTCTTAAATACGCGCTTCTTATTGGATGACGTTTGCACTTAACCATAGTTAACTTTAATCACTAGTTTTAATTAATAGTTAAATTTAATTTTTTAGACAACCGGCCCCAGCATGTCAGGTGTAAAGCCGAAAGTATTGTTTTTCATAAAAAAAAATTACGAATTTATTCGATTCGATTTATCCCCTGACCACATGTTCCACCTCTTCCAGCAAACATGCATACTTGTAAAAAATACGGGCAAGATCGATAAACTAAGAATGCTTCTGTTTATGAAAAGCTAAAAGTTTATATATATAAACGCTTCTGTTTATGCTATAAATACATGTGTAAACATATATACTCACAGCACCGCCCACAAACGTTTCCAAACATCGCTCACAGACAAAAAGGAATTTCAATGTCGCGACTAGCACGTTCGATTTAAAATAGCAAATATCTTTTAGTTTCAATATTTGAAGCAATTTTACTTTGAATGTTTATGAAAGGATACCAATCTTCACAAATTCAAACTACAGAGACTTAAAATTATGTCTATAAGCGCTTTATACTATTTTAAAATCAAACGTGCTAGTCGCGACATTTGGAAATGTTTGTGGGCAGTGCCGTGTCTATTTTTAAGCAAGGAGACCGGTTAGGAGGGACTGGTCATAATTTATCAGGGGGGTGGGGAGGTGTAATTCAAAATTTTAAGGAATGATATTTTGTGACCCTGCTTTGCCATAACCTCGAAAAATAATGCCCCCCCCCTCTCTTGCTCGTGTCAGTAAAAATGTACCTACCTACTATTAAACCCTGCATTCAATAAATTTTCTAATTGCACTTTAAATTTTCTGATTTTGTAGTTGCGCTTTAAATGAAATACTAAAATTTATATTATACCAACACATAGTCATATATAAAACTTTAGTTTTTTCAAACTTTTCATTCTAAGTTTAAAGAATCAATTTTTTTCAATGCAACGCAAACAAAATGTGTGAAGGCATGTATAAAACAATTAATTGAACTAAAACAGCAGACCCCTTCCCCGCCTTGACGCGTGTCCCAAAAACAATAAAAAAATCAGTAATTTCACAATTTTCAAAAGCTTATTCGAAGGGTATAAATGTAAACAGCTTCAAACTTTGTATACTTGCTAATTTTGAGGTGGTCTTTTCAGCTATTTGGTTCATTTCTTAATTTGGGCAGTTTTTAACACTCGTCCCCAGTACTCTCACCAACTTCGGAATGGCTAATTGATGCAATATTTGATCAACACTTCCAGGGGCGGCGGAAAGTCGATAATTGGGGGGGCTGATATTCATATATTCGTGTTCACAGACTGTAAAAACAATCGCTTTCAAAGGAAATAAATGATGCAGAACATGAATATATGAATATCAGCCCCCCCAATTATCGACTTTCCGCCGCCCCTGAACACTTCTATTGCATCTACAGTAATACAAAAGAGTTGTTTAATTTATTTATTTTGGATAATGAAGTCAGCCGCATTTTGGTATTATAAACCTCAAACACCAAGGCATTTTTCCCTTTCTTTAACTGAATTAAGATTACGATCTCCCTGCTCTAGTGTTATTTATAATCTATATGTCTAAGAGGTCCGACTTTTCGAGCGGGAAGGGGAAAATTCAGGCTGCAACAAATAGGCTGGACA